GTCTCCGAGAGTCCTCTGTGCCCGCCTACCGACCTCCCTCCACCCACCCGACTGATCGACAACCATCCCGCCTTCACGGTTCGCACCATTTTGGACGTCAGACGTCGAGGCCGGGGTTTCCAGTATCTCATAGACTGGGAGGGATACGGTCCCGAGGAGAGATCCTGGATTCCCCGCTCATTCATTTTGGACCCAAGTCTGATCACCACGTTCTTCAGAGCTCACCCCGAAAAGCGCCTCAGGTCGCCTGGAGGCGATTCTTGGGGGGGGGGGGGGGGGGGTAATGTGAGAGTAGCTCTGCTGCAGCTCCCAAGATGGCCGCTAACGATCTACACCTGGCGGTCATCTCCCTGATGAGCATCGACTCCTATTTAAGGCTGCAGTCAAGACTACTCGATGCTGGAGCATTGATTCCCTCCCGGTACTAGTGCTCTCAGCCTTTTATGTTCTCAAGTATTTATGATACTGACCTTGTGTTTTCTATGCCAGCAGTTCCTCGCTTTGGTCGAACCATTCCTGCCCTGATCACTCGACATCCTGTCTGGTCTCACGAAAACCCTGACCTGTGGATCTTGGATCACTAAACCCTGTGGCTGGGACTCATGCATCTTGGGACTCCTGAACTCACTCCAGTACCAACGAAGCTGTAAGACAGAAACAACAAAATCAAAACCGTTTCTCCCGTGTCACTTACCTTCTCCCGACCTGAACGAACTATTTCCCTCTTCCAGGAGTTCCAGTTCCAGGGCCCTGTATATATTGTATATATTCTATTTTTGCACTGTAAATAAACATCACTTTTCGTAATCTCAGTCTTGTGTCGTTCTGGGTCTCGTTACAACTGGGTTGACCACACATACAACACTGACACTGAACAGCATACACAATATTACTCCGTTTGTGCCGGGGGACTGGATCTTTGGGATGAACCAGTCTTTGCCGTAATGTATTTTGGGGTTTAACAGCCACTGGGACATTGTTTAGAAAATAAACATCTCAGTTTCTCTGATACTCCCGCAACATATGGAATGACCACTGGTCTGGGTTCCTCCTTTTCACCTGATGGCTGACTGGAGTCCTGTTTGGGTTTCTTCTTTGCTTTCAGGAAGGCCCATTTAGGATATCCACATTGCTCCAGGGACTGTTTTGTGTGGGACTTCTCCTCTCACTCTTCTTCACCCATCTCCCTGATTCACTCGTTGCTTTGCTCACTTGTCGTTCTGCCTGACCTGTTTGTTAAAACTTCTCCCACTGCTGAAAATCAGCTACCTGAGAGTAAGATGTGCTCATCATGCGTCATTAATAGCCATAGTAACCAGCTTCTGCAGGTCAGAGGTGGAGCAAAAACGGAGGGGGCGGAGCTTCTGCAAGTTGCTCTGCCTTGATGTTTCCAATCATTTGTCTGGTGAAGTTTTTTTTTTTTTTTTTCTCCTTTAAGTATAAGGGTTCATTTAATCAGAACCACTTTTGATTCTGTTCAGGTACAAAAAGAATCAATGTTACAGAAGCAAATGTTTGAAAACAGAACAAAGAAAATTTGTGATTTTTTTTTTTTAAAAACACTGGTTTATTAAGTGGGGCAGCACAGTGGCACAGCTGGTAGAGCTGCTGCCTCGCAACACACAGGTCCCTGGCTCAAATCTCAGTCCGGGGGCCTTTCTGGGTGGAGTTTGCATGTTTTCTCCGTGCATGCGTGTTTTCTCCAGGTACTCCAGTTTCCTCCCACAGACCAAAAACATGCATGTTAGACTGATTGGTAACTCTATATTGTCTCTAGGTGTGAGTGAGAGAGTGAATGGTTGTCTCGTTTGTCTCTATGTGTCCTTGTGATGGACTGGAGACCTGTCCAGGGTGCCCCTCGCACAGTGATGGCTGGATATGGGCACCAGTAACCCCTGTGACCCGAAAAGGAAAAAGTGGGTAAAGATGATGGATGGTTTATTAGATGATGTCAAATTAAGACTGAACTTTTGTTTCTGCTGCTCTTCATCAATCAATCAGCTGATTATTTATCAGCATGTTTTATGTTGATGTCAAAAAAACAGAAAATATTTCTGTCTTCTCCATCAGTTTAAATTTGATCACTTAATGAAAAACAAACTGACAGCTGGCTTTTTTAGTTTGTTCTTTTGAAAAACATGTTCTTTAAAATATTTTAAAAATTCTTGATTTTAATATTTTTTCTCCATACTCTCAGGAGTTTTTAAGATTCAGTTTCAAAGTGATCCACTTATTGCTATTTTTGGAGTTCCTGGGACCACACTTAATCTATCCCGCCAGCAGGGGGAGGTCTTGGCCTTTTGCTCTCTCCTTGCCAGACGTTGTATTTTGCTCGCCTGGAAATCTCCCACACCACCATCTACATCACAATGGCTTAATACTGTAAGATTATACTTGAAGATGGAAAAAATTTTACTAACAGTGAAAGGTAGTTCAGAAAAATTTACCCACAAGTGGACACCCTTTGTGTCATATGTAAAATCTTTACCTTCATAGCGTATAGACTGATACGATTGACTCATCACATTACCATGTGACTTGTTTTTAGAGGATAAATGAAAGACTGAAATACTGTTTTCCTTTTGGTTTGTTGGGTCCCTCCTGTTCGTTCCTCCTCCCCCTCTCTCTCTCTCTTTTTTTTTTTTTTTTTTTTTTTTTTTTTTTTTTTTTTT